GGTTCCCTGGAGAATATCATTTCTTGATGTAAGATAAATTACAAATTGAGACTTGAAGCTGAGTCATTTCTTTTGGGGGCTTAGTAGTTTGACTAGTTTCCATTAGTGGAAGCTCTCGACTCTCTCAAAGCTTATTGGCATTATTTGGTCTGTTTCATCTTCTTTTCATTCACATTAGACCAGATTTTTTTTGTGTGGTTGAGACTTGTTCTGTTCTTATAAGAGTCTTCTCATAGCAAATATGTGCTTCAAGATCACACCTGCTGAGAAAATTCGTAATACCGAAGATTACTTGCTTTGCTTGTTTACTACCCTCTGGCATTGGTTTGATTTGCCTGGCATGATTGGTAGGTGTTGATTTTAAGATCAAACAGCTGAAAGTAAAAGGGAAAAGAGTAAAACTTACAATCTGGGACACTGGTAAGCTAAATCTTATTGCGAAATCCGTGTAATTAGTAACCGCAAAAACTCTTGGTAAATGTGATTTCCTGGTTTGTCATTGTGTAGCTGGACAAGAGAAGTTTAGATCATTGACAAGTTCTTATTTCAGAGGCTCCCAAGGAATCATTCTCGGTAATGATATGACCATAGAATTGTCCGTAGCTGTTTTGGTAAAAAGTTCGTAAGACTTCTAATGTTTTATCTCCTGGTTATCTTGGTGATGATGCAGTTTATGATGTGACGAAAAGAGAGACATTTCTAAACTTAGCAGATGTTTGGGCTAAAGAAGCTGAGCTCTACTCGACTAACCATGACTGCATTAAGATGCTCGTTGGCAACAAAGTCGATAGAGTGAGTACTAATAGTAACGCTTCTATTCAAATCAACTTGAACTTGGTTTCACTTATAGTTGTCAGTACAGGAATCTGAGAGGAGGGTTAGCCGAGAAGAGGGAATGGCTCTAGCAAAAGAACTCAAGTGTTTGTTTCATGAATGTAGTGCAAGAACCCGAGAAAACGTGAAGCAATGCTTTGAAGAGCTTACTTTGAAGGTAAGAAAGAATCTTGATGATCCCTTTTCACTTTCATACTGGCCGAAAATGAGGAAAGTGAATCATATGAGTGGTGTAAATTGAAACAGATAATGGAGGTACCTAGTCTTTTGGAAGAAGGATCAAGCTCTGTGAAGAAAAAACCAGATTTCCGAACTCATCAAAGCCGGTGTTGCTCGTGAGCTGATTGGTTGAACCGCCTTTTCCAATCGGATGTAGCCTCTTTTGTGTGTAAATTCATCAAGAAGATGAAGCTTGGCTTCTCTGTAAATTTATCAATTCCTTATATCTTTGTTCTTTTTGCCTCGTCTGAGATTGTGTGATAAGTTAATAACCTCACTATACAGAAAAAGGAAAAATTGTGTTTACTTTTGGTCTCAAATTTAGGATTTGATAAAAAAGAACACCCTCAAGTGAAAGAAGGAATCTCTTATTTCAAACCTTTGAAACCGTAGCTTACACACACTACAACACCTGCATTGCATTGATTCAAGGTCTTTGAACACTTAAACATTGTCTACCATTTCCAGTGTTTGGCCATGGAGATAGCAAATAGACATAAGACCACAGCCCATCAATGAAGTATCTCTCCTACTCGTTCTAAGTAACAATAACAATAAGAGCTTACGACGATCTCTGAATGATGCGAAGAAGATTAAAGACGGTAAGAGATTAGACACCGGTCCATAAAACTTCTAGACATAACTGCAGCAAGCTGATTTCTCACTTGTAGAAGACGATGAGGCTTTGTTGGCATCTTGTTTGGTGATCTTGATCCCTTGGGGCTGCAGAGTAACAAAGACAGTATACGTTTTACTCAGTGATATATAGCTAGTTTAATAAACCGAGCATCAAGTAAGTAGTACACTTCATGTGCTTCTTTACCTCAGCTTTTGTATCGCTTTCTGTTAGTCTCTGTTTTATGTCTTTGGCAATAGAAAGGAAAACCTGCTCGACATTCTGATTTGTTTTTGCACTCTGCAACAGTTTCCAGTGACATTGGTTTAAGAAAATGAAATCTTCAAACGAACAACGAATGAGAGAAATATGTTATATATTTTTCCAGCTCACCGTCTCAAAGAATTTGATTCCATACTCATCAGCCAGAGCTTGTCCTTTTGATGTTGGGACAGCCTGTAGAAGAAGATGCAGCATCAGTATACTTAACATGGTCAGGATTGTGAACAGAGTACACAGAACAAAATTTACCCTTTTGCTTTCATCCATGTCGGCTTTGTTACCAACCAATATTTTGTTGACGCTATCAGAAGCATGCTGCTCAATGTTCTTCATCCAGTTCCTAATGTCTGGAGAAACAATTTTGTGTTAGTTCCCACAAGTGTCTTTTAAGAATATTGTTCCTGACACAAAGAAAAGCCAGAGACATACTGTTGAAGGATGACTCATCTGTCACATCATAGACGAGTAATATACCCATTGCTCCTCTGTAATAGGCTGCAAGAGAAAATGGAACATAGGGTTTCAAAGAAATGGCGACCGAACGTTACTAACAAGAAAGAAAGTAGAAAAAGTCTTTTTATCTTCTTCTAAGAGTATGGTTATTTCCCGGTACATTGAGTAATCATTCACACAGAAATCAACAGATTCATACGAGAAAAATAAAGCAATTTCCACTTCACTTCCAAATGGCATCATCGTTAAACTCAGGAGCAGGAAATCTAGTTTCACCTGTAGTTATAGTTCTAAAACGTTCTTGTCCAGCAGTGTCCCATATCTGCAATTTGATACGCTTCCCATCAAGTTCAACCGTTCTTATCTTGAAATCGATTCTGCGAGAAGAAAAAACCGAACTTAGACAAACGTTTTCAATAATCTTCAAGACCAAACACACAAGAAAAACAGCTAAATGAAGAAAGACATACCCAATAGTAGTAATGAAACTCGTGGTGAAAGTATCATCCGAAAAACGCAGTAGCAAGCAACTTTTCCCCACACCTGCGTAT